ATGTCAGTTGAAAATTTTGAAGCCTTAAAGCAGCAGTGTTTGTATAATGTTTTTCATCTTGCTGAATTGTCTGAATTTTCAGAATCTTTAAATCTTTTGCTCTCTGACTGTTTGCAAGATCCTATTGCTCTTTCGAACCTACAATATCTTGATACAGTTGTTGGAAAACATGGCAAACAACATGGAGAATTACATGTTACAAGCTTGGGTGGGGTTTGGATGCAGACCCAGGRATTTAGTTCATTCTGTGGTCTTTGTGCTATGAACAACTCCCTTTCCTTAGAACCAGGTGTTTCACCATATTTTACTGTAGAGGAGGTAGACCTTGCAGCCGATATAATGTGGCTTAAGCAGTTGATTCTTTGTGGCTCATTTTCTACACCCATTGAACCAATGCGCTTCTTGGATGGTGATTATAGTATAGTGGCTTTAGAACAGGCAGCTCTTGTTAAAGGTTTGGTATTTCAAAGATTGGATGCTGAAGTACGTTCTCTTACTGATGGTGTTAATATCAATGGGTTAAGCATATCCTGTTTTACAGAGCTGTATAATCTCTTTCTTCAAMTTTTTGCCAAGTGYGCTAMCGCGTCTCTTGTTGTCAGGATCAAAACACATCRTTACATTTCACTTKTGTTCAACAGAGAGAATGTTATCTTACTGGACAGCAAATCAACTGCTCCACAGTTTTTATCCCCTAAAGATGGAATGGTTTATCTTCARCAGGAATGTCAAGAAAATTCTTCCTTTTCAGCATTCAACATTGGATTCAATGGATCAAAGGGGGCTCCTATTGATGTTGATCAACTTCCAGCTGTCCATGTGAAAAAAGATTTTACCAGCAGTCTTGAGGAAATCTGGCAGTCTGAGAATATCTCACTAAGTGAAGATACCATAGTTTCTGAACAACATGGATGTATTACAGTAGGAGATTTGAGATCTTTGAAACCTGGTGCTTTGKTGAATGATGCTGTGATGAATTACATAGGCAGTTTCCTGATGTCACAGAATAAAGGTGTATTTGTTGCAAACACATTTTGGTTACAACAGCTTCAGAGGAAGAAAAGAATTCCAATGACAGTTGACTTATCTAAGTATAACAAATTGATATTTCCTGTTCATTGTCCAGGGCATTGGTGGTGTGTCATGATTGACACTACATTGCAAGTGTATGGGGAATACGATTCCTTGTGCAGAGAACGAKAGAGCTCATATGTCTTTGGGCTGCTCAGCTCTGTTTGTTTACAATCAAATATTGATCTTTCCGCATTCAGAAAACTCAGCTATCASGAAAGAATGAAGCTTCCCTCCCAAGGCACCAACACCAAGGACTGTGGTGTTTATGTCCTCTGCTCGATAACTCTGTTCTTGCAAGGTAAAAATATCATTTTTAGAAATGTATGTACATTATTCCTCACTAATATCCTAATGCCAAAACGTATTTATATTTCAATTTGTTACTTTTTCAGGCCTACCGATATCCTACAAAATGTCTTCAATGGATTCCATGAGACTGGAATTTAGCAAGGTAATTTTGAATGTAAGACCTTCACTATAAGGTATGGTCGAAATTTTGAAATTGTGTTTATTTGGTTTTTGATGCTCATATGCCTTGATGAGTTTCAACTCACATAAATATTCCAATCTAAAAAATGCCTTTGTTGACAGAAAAAAAGTACTTAGCTAAGAGCG